CGATTACGAATTTCGCTGCGCTTATCAAAGGCTGAAAAAGAACAATTTAACTTATTACATGTAACTCCAGGATTTCAAAATTATATAGCTACACAGTTAACTAAAATATTAGATAAATATCTTCAAGAAAAATTTCAAAATATAGAATATAGTGAAATACCTCAAAATATATAAAAGTGATGTTAGATTGTTTAGTGATTATCCAGACATTTTTTAGAGGAAGAAAAATCTACATTTAAGCATCAAACAAAACTGCTTAAGTCAGGCAAAAATTTCAATTTAACGTAATATAAGCTTTAAAGTAAGTAAAGTAGTAAACGAAGTTCAAGTACCTCACATAATAAACGAACTGGAACCAAATAATTGAAGAGCGAAGTGGAAGAGGCCATAACTCACCTCAAATTAAACAAAACCCCAGGAACAGACGGTGTCTCAGCTGAAATGATAAAGTTGATAGGGGAGGAAGGTGTGAAAATAGTACATAAGATCTGCAATAAAGTATGGCAGTCTCGACAATGGCTTAAAGATTGGACTAATTCTGCTTTCATCCCAATTCACAAAAAAGGATCCACACAAAAATGCCAGAATTATCGAACAATATCCCTAACGTCACATGCAAGCAAGATCTTACTTAGGATAATTGACCGAAGACTTCAGAGGTACTTAACGCTTGAACAAGCCGGATTCGTGAAAGGAAGAGGCACAAGAGATCAAATATTTAACATACGTCAACTCATAGAGAAATCCCGAGAATTTAATTCGCCTATGTTCTTGTGTTTTATAGACTACAAGAAGGCTTTCGATTGTGTGAGGTGGAAAAGCCTATGGAGGGTTCTGAGCGAAATAGGAGTTCCGAATCATCTAGTGGCTCTTATTAACAATTTATATGACAATAATACGGCAATTGTCAACCTAGATAACAAAACGTCGGAACCTTTCAAACCTAGAAAAGGGGTACGCCAGGGCTGTATACTGTCACCCAGATTGTTTAATGCCTATGGTGACTACATCATGAGACGTGCTTTGGAGGGCGAGGAAGGAGGAATCCTAGTCAACGGTAAAATCCTAAACAACCTTAGGTACGCGGACGATACCACCCTGATAGCGAAAAGTGAGGAAGAAATGGCCCGGTTGCTGGAAAGAGTTACCATCGAAAGCAATAATCTTGGTCTAGAAATAAACATTGATAAAACCAAACTCATGCTGATTGATAGAAGTGGTGCAGTTCGATTACACAACCTCCTCCCTAATATAGAAAGAGTAGATCAATTTATATACTTAGGGTCTTTAATAACAAATAATGGGGGCTGCGAAGGAGAGATAAGAAGGCGCATAGCTATGGCACGGACGGCTATGATGAGTCTAAGAAAAATATGGACAGATAGGAGCATTACTAAAAACACCAAAAAAACCCTTGTTCGATCTTTGGTGTTCTCCATATTCCCATACGGGTCTGAGTCATGGACCGCCAAGAGCGCTGATAGACCGTATAGATGCATTTGAGATGTGGTGCTGGAGGAGAAAGCTCCGTATCCCATGGACAGCTCGAAGAACGAACCAGTCAATTCTTAATGAACTCGGCATCACAGATCGATTATCCACCATCTGCCGTAGACGCATCTTGCAATACTTCGGTCATATCACTCGCAGAGGTGAAGACAACCTTGAAAAAATCATAGTACAAGGCAAAGAGAAGGTCGAAGACCCAGAGGACGATCACCATCGAGATAGCTTGACCAAATAGCAAATATTACAGGTCAGTTACATTTCAATCAAATCTCCGAGAGGCGGAAGATCGCCAACGATGGAAGATCAAAATCACCAACTGCACATAGCCATAATGTCACGATTCTTCAGACATGAAGAGACGACGAAGAAGAAGAAGCTTTATAGATCTGGTTCTCTCCGCAACAAAACGCTAAATCTGTCCTTGGCAACGGTGTTGCAAACCACTTACCCCAATTTTTCGATGAGATCGAAAAAAAAACGAGAGGAAAGGAATCGAGAAACGAGAGGAATTTCCATCCACAAAATTAGATATTTTGGATACCCTCAAGGAAGCTAAATTGGCTATAGGGTACAAACTAAATGGTAAGATCAACTATATGCCTCCCACAGCTTCTGATTTATCGAAAGTAGAGTGCAGGTATTTACCGATACCTGGTTGCTTGTCGCGCACGGAAGATGCCAGAGATTTCGGAGATCTTCCCGAAAATGCTAAACATTAAACCAATTAAACACAATAAAATAGAAGAATGCGTTGGAGTCTCAATAAAATGGATCGGAGTTGGTAAAGGAAGGGAGTCTATTATAAAAATAAATTAAAATAAGCGTCAGAAAAAAAAACTTTAAAAGCTTAAAAGCTTTAAAAGTAATGTTAAAAAACTTTTTTACTGGATACTTAAAAAATTATGGACCTCTCCATTGTTACCTAAAAACGAAATTTGGGACATAAGTAAAGAAGAAACTAAATATTGGTCGAATCGTAGTAAATATTACTGGACCTCCAAGTAACCCTAAAAAGTATTTATTATGGGTATCAAACCGTTAAAAAACACCTCATTAAGGGTATCAAACCCTTAAGGAACATTTTCGGGAATTTTCTTCAAGAGATATTCATAGGAACTGCAATAATTATGTTAAAAAGGTTTTTTCCTACATCATATGGTCATTTAATGAAATTATGTTTGATTGTATAAAATGGATTGGCGATTTCATATTGAGTAAATCTTGTGACAATTTTAAAATTTGCTGGAAACTTGGTAGATTAGAAGATGACCATCTAAGAAAGGGCGATATTACATCAACAATTATACAATTTTGAACAAATTTGAGTATAAAGAATGCGAAATTTGGTTTGTAAGATTTGATTTTTGGCAAAATATTTTAGCTCTGGGTAACCAAAATGGTAAAGTCTTTATATGAGATCTGGATGTATCGGATCCAGCTGAAGCTAAATGTTATACATTACAGCTTCCACGATGAATTACTGCTATAAGACAAACAACACTAAACCGAAATGCAAATATACTATTGCATGTTTGCGATGATGGTACTCTATGGAGATAAAATAGTCTAAATTGTAAAGTGTTCATTAAAAAACCTCATTACGGGTATCAAGCCCTTAAGGAATATTTTCGGGAATTTTCTTCAAGCGATATTCATAGGAAATGCAATAATTATGTTAAAACGGGTTTTTCCTATATCATATTGTCATTTAATAAAATTATGTTTGATTGTATAAGATGGTTTGGCGATTTTATATTGAGTAAATCATGTAAAAATAGTATTATTTGCTGAAAAAGAAGAAAAATTTTAGATTTGAGTAAACAAACTGGTATATTTTGTATTGGATATGGATGTCAGACTTGTGGTGCTGACCAATTTGATGCCACAAAAATTACCTGCAAGAATGTCAGCGTACAGAGAGACATGCACAAACATTTGTAGATGGCTCCCTACAATGTTGCCGGTTGGAGCATTTTCCTGAAGGCCAGCACACAGAAGAAACAAATTTATATCTGAATATTGTGGCGAGATCATATCTCAGGCAGACCGCAGGAAAAAGGTTTATGACCTAACCTATAGAACAAGAAAAGGACAAGCTATTAAAAAAGATTTAATAACGCCCCAAAGGTTTTTAAACCAATTTATAAATATGTTTGTAGCTTAAAGAAGACCATGGACAGCCTTTATTTGGTGTTCAATTTAATCATTATTTAAAAGAAGAACAGCCAATGGTATTTGCTGCTCTTGGTAGTAACAGAGTTATTATTTATGAATGCCCAGAAGGTGATGGGATCAAATTATTACAGTGTTATTCTGAATGAAATTTTTTATACCTGAATCAGCAGAATTGTATGGTGACAAGGGGAAAGGAATTGAGGAACTTGAGCAAGAATCAGTCGATTTCTGGATTGGAGCTGGATTCGCAGCATGGGCACGTTCCGCAGTACTCGGTCGATGACTATCCTAGCTATCCTCTCCCTCCCAAACGAGGAACGGTTGGTGAAACTGGATACTCTAGCGATCAGACTGCTATTACTGAGTATGAAGAAGCTGAACCTAGATGAGCACAAACTCATCTGGAAGCTGCGGATATTAGGCCAACGGCTATGATAACTCCTTCACAAGGCGAAAACAACCACGACATAAATGCCAGAGGCCCTTGCGGCATGACTCCCATCATGGTAGCCGCCATCAGGGGGGCGGAATGGACACTGGCGAGGAGGACGAAGACGAGTCCGCGGGCGCGGTTATCCAAGACTTCGTGGCTCACGGAGCAGACTTGAACGCTACCATGGACAAGACCGGGGAGACCATTCTCCATTTAGCGGCAAGGTACGTGCGCGCAGACGCTGCCAAACGATTACTGGATGCCGGAGCGGACGCCAATGCTCAGGATAATACCGGAAGGACGCCACTGCTTGCCGTAGCGGCTGATGCTTTGGGGGTATTCCAGATTCTTTTGAGGAACAGGGATACCAATCTGAACGCTATAATGAACGAAGGGACCAATCCACTTATTTTGGCAGCAAGGCTGGCAATTGAAGGTATGGTTCAAGACCTGATTAGCGCAGAAGCAGATATAAACGCAGCTGACAATTCTGGTAAAACGGCGCTTCACTGAGTCGCAGCAGTCAATAACGTCGAAGCTGTGAACATTCTATTGGCTCACGGCGCCAACACGGATGCGCAAGACGATAAAGACGAGACACCATTATTCTTAGCTGCCAGAGAAGGTTCTTTCCAGACTTGTAAAACTTTGTTGGAAGCCTTTGCAAACCAAGACATCACTGATCATATGGAACGACTGCCCAGAGATATTACTTGCGAAAGGTTACATCACGATATTTTGTACGTATCACGGATTCCTCAAATGGTTAGCGTAGTTTCTAACAGTCAACTGATCTGAAAGACTGAACATAGAGGAAAATGGGTGTGCTATCAGTGCAATCAGCCAGGCCACATAAAACGAAATTGTCCAAACTTACGGAGAAATGGAACTGAAACGAAACAGCAGGATTCTCGACGATGTTTTAACTGCCAACGTACCGGACATTTTGCTAGAGACTGCCGCGCCCCAAAAGGACAACGTCAGGCACCAAGAGAACAGCGTCGATACCAACCTCCAGGAAATAGTTCGTTAAACTCCAACGCGGCCATCTTTCAGCCCCGAGACATGGCTGCCAACGAGGCAAACTAGGAATAAATAATGAAAAACGGGTAGGGATACACACGTGCAACGAAGAAGGAACCCGAGCAGCCTGTAATGTCATTAAAATAAGTATTTGTGGTAAGCCATACCTTGCTTTAATTGACTCAGGTGCTGCTGTATCCCTAGTAAAACGTAAATTAGCGCTATCGTAATAAAATGAATGAGTTTAGGGATACCGTCTCGATCTGCCGCAAGGTTGAAAGTGGTAAAAGACATGGTTAGTGTAAAGTGCTAGCCCCAGAAATTGTAAGAGGCGAAGACTACGGTTTTTCAGTAGATTGGTGGGCTTTAGGTGTTTTATTGTATGAAATGTTAGCTGGTAGATCACCATTTGACATAGCGGGAGCCTCAGAAAATCCTGATCAAAACACTGAAGATTACCTGTTCCAAGTTATCCTAGAAAAAACTATCCGTATTCCGCGATCCCTCAGTGTGAAAGCCGCAAATGTTTTGAAAGGTTTTTTGAACAAGAACCCAGCAGATAGATTAGGGTGTCACAGTACGGATTTCTTTATTGATATAACTAGGCATCAGTTTTTCAAGTGCATTGATTGGGATGCGCTGGAGCAAAAACAGGTACCGCCCCCTTACAAGCCCCGTTTGGATTCGGACAGGGATCTGGCTAACTTCCCTCCAGAGTTTACAGATGAACCAGTACATCTTACTCCAGATGATCCAAGAGTAGTTCAGTGCAGTACTTATGGATGTAGAATATAGTAGAAAAGATCTGTGACTCCGAGATGAATAAAGAAAAGCACGAAAAAGGCTCGGATAGCGCTAAGGATGATTCTGTCAGCGCAGATAATAAAAAGTAAAGAAAATAAAGAAGGAGGATGATGTGATAACTAAGAAGGAACCCACAATTAGATCTAATTACTAAGGAGGCCTTGTGGGATAAACTAATACAGGCTCTCTGCAGTTTACACCTGATCTCTAGTCGGAAGCTCCTAATGATGATTCTAAAGCAGTGTTTGAATCTACCACATTGTCTCTATTAAAACAAGAAGAAAAAACTTATGCCTTATCTGACCTTTTTGGTTTGGGCTTAGGCCCAACAGGTCCTGAGACTGGAAACACAGGACATCCAACTCAGTCCCAATCAAAAAGTGTGCAGCTATTGGGTAGCAATGTTATAAACAAACAGTCCAGTTCTATGGAAGTGCAGTATATGCAATACAACAAAGTCAAATATTCGTTTTTTTTCAACAGTGTTAGCGAATTCTGGAGCTGATGAAGTTCTTCAGGGACATTACCCCTCAATCATTGCTTCTCATTATGCACAACCAGGTACTAAAAATATTTGGAGAAAAACCCTTTGAAGGTAACACAGTTTAATCAGCAGAATGCAGCTCGGTGGCCATTTAGCCATTTAGCCATGATGAAAAATAAGGATTGTACAGGAAGTCCCGGAGTAGGCTCTAAGCCCCCTCCCAGTATAGATAATTTCTCAGATCCAGAAGGATTAAAAGATATGATAGATTTGGATGATAGTGATATCCTTGGGAACCATCATTTAACAATAACCATCATTTAGAAGGACTGGAGGGTGCTGTAACTAACGGTTTACCTGACATGGGTCCAGATATGAACTCATGTAGTCCTTTTTTATTAAATGGTCAGCACAAATTACAGGGCGTTCAAGTGCATAATAAAAACCTAATTCCTCCGCAAAGGCAACACAGAGAAGAGCATTTGGCATCTATTAGAAAAATGCATCAGTTGCTGTTTTCTGAAAGTCAGAGTGATGAGACCATTGGAGGCCCTCCTGATGAACTATCAGGCATCCTTTCTGGAGGTGCAGCGCCATTGAGAAGTTTCTAATGTCGTGGACGCCTTCAAATACAATTGGGAGAACCAAGTTAGAATTTTAACAAAGGCCATCGATGATATAACGACAGTAGATGACTTTTTGGATGTGTCTGAAAATCACATTTTGGAAGATGTGAACAACTGTGTCCTACGTATGTGGAACGTACTGCAGCGGCAATCAGAGGCCGTCGCGGCAGAAATGAATAATTATGAACAGTGGATTTACACGAAACGAGTTTTGGAGGCAGTAAAGGTAACATTATGACCTTTTCCTATTTTTTCAGAGCGACAATTCACACCCTCAATTTTATTTTAGGTGCTAAATGATCAGGTGATGCCTAACTTTACGGAGAGGGTACAGGTTGGCAGTTCAAGCAATTTTAAGTGATCAGCAACGACAACCTGCGAAAGATGAAAACTGGACGAATTTATCCCCACTTTCAGTCTAGTCTACGATGGTGTGCGTGAAATTCGTAGTGCAGTACTAATGAATCGAACGGATGAAGACCTGGAACCTGAAGATGTCGAGCTTGATGAAAATACCCTTTGGAAACGAAAGGCAATCAAGTGTCCATAACTGAGATTAACGGCATAACGACAGCTCGCGAAGCCATGGGTAGATGCCTGAGGAAGATAAACAGAAGATCATCCAACAGGTGGAATACTTGAGAGGAACGAGAAGTTCAAGTTCGACAGCGAAGTCGCCAAGTAGGACGACACGGACAACGACATCATCGTTCTGGCGAAGCACACGTGCGTCATCATGATGGGGAAGACGGACCAGAAGTCGTTGCCCGCTAAAAGCCACGATGGTTGTCATCAACGCCGTTAAAAAGATATCCAAAGCCGGCACAAAGCTGGATAGACGGACCCGCCAAATCGTAGACCAGTGTCCAGAAAGCTCAACCAAGAAAGATTTGTAGACATATTTGCGACGTATAGCGCTTTATCGCCGCCAAATGAGCATCGCCTCCAAGGTAAAAGCTGACGTTCAGAATATCAGTGGTGAACTAATTGGTTCAGGCTTAGACAGTGCCACATCCTTAATATAAGCCGCTAAAAACCTGATGGACCTCCATAAGTAAAGTTTTATATTAAAAATAGAGATTGAAAGAATTTGTTTTACTTCTGTAGCAGTTGGAGGTACTGCGTGGAGTCACCCATCAAGGCAGCTGAAAATGGAGATGACAAGCGAGTAGAGGAGTATGCTGAGAATTTTACGGAGCATTTTAACAAACTGGTTGAGGTCGCAAATTTAGTTTGCAGTAATAAATGAGTCCTAGCTCTTCAGGAGAATGAAGCAAACACATTGGAACGTACCGCAGCGGCAATCAGAGGCCGTACTGGTCGTATTGCCCTTGTTGTCGCGGCAGAAATGGACAATTCAAGCCACTAAAAACCTGATGGACGCTGTCGTTTTGTCAGTTAAAGCGTCGGCGTCGTATGTTGCCTCAACAAAATAACCAAGACAACAATGAACTCTTGCCGTAAGTTAACACTCATCTTTTATTATTTGAACTATTAATTAATATATATAATTTATTTCTAGTCTCCAATTGTTGTATGGAAGATGAAATAACCCGAGAAGAAGCCTTATATTCGTGCCAAAGTAAGGAAAGGGTCACAGAAGAAGGTTCAGAACCGGATGCATTGTTGGGAATACCAAACAGAATCTGTTTTAAAGAGTGTTTTCGGTAACCTACTTTTTTCCGAGAAATTTTATATTTATATTTTTAAATAAAAAAAATCAAGTCAATCTCTTTATTGTTTTAGTTGCTTTTAAGCAAATAATGGTGTCAATTTTTACTCTAAATTATTGGTAGTATGGGTATTATACAATAATTATACATATCAGCAGTAATCTAAGAGCCTTCTTTAGTATTATTCATATGTGATGATATTTATTAAATTTATTGAACAAAACACCAGTGGCGGACTAAGGGGGGGGGGGCGGTCCGCCCCGGGCCCCGTCTTTTAGGGGGGCTCCGAATCTTAATAAGTAATTTTTTATTCAACTGGCAAACAAGGCCAATATGTGTTATAAAGTAGTTATAAAGCAGTAGTTATAAGGCAGTTTGTAGGTGGAGTATGCAAACCATGCATATACGCCAACTATAAACAGTATAAATGGAAGCAGATATTTAAATACTTAATTATGAATTATCAGACCCCAGTAATTGTCAATGGCATTTTCTGTTTAGGAAATTAAATCAAGGGGTAATTTTCTTTGTTTAAAATGTCGAATAATTATTATTTTTTTATATATTTTGAGACTGAATTTATTTATTTTAGATTTTAAGTTATTTTTCAATGGTTTCATTATTTATTTTTACTGAAAAAACATGTTAAATTACAACCAATGCACAGCATAACTTGTATTCTAGCTTTATTGCTGATGATGAGCAGTGAAGCCTTTAGTATAACGGGGGCCACGGGCCTGAGGCAGCGAAAGGGCCCCTTGGATCTTGAAGAACTTACAAAATCGCGATATTTTGTCGCGGTATTTCCCAAGCATTTTTAAGACAAAAATATTTAAAACTTTTTCACGAGAAAAACTACCTGTCAAGAAAATTTCTACGGCCTGAAAGTCAAATTTAGTGATTATCACAGCCCCTGTGACATAAAGAAAAGACATGTGGCTATCTATTTCAAAAATTAAATTGTTCAAATGTCATAATATAATAATGGCGGTATCTGTCATGGAATTGAGAGATTAAAAAATTATCATAAATACTTTTTTTTCAAATGGAAACCCACTTTTTTTATTTCACAAGTAAAAAAAGGTTTTCCAATTCGTTACGTTTTAACTAGACATATTCCTATACCTAAAATAAATCGTTTTTAAGTTATTTAAGATTTAGTTTGAAAACGTATATTTTTCTTCCTTTCGTTTTCCTAAACGTTTCTTCCTTTTAGTGTCAAACAGTCAGACAATTTATTTCCATCTGTCAGAAAATGAATTATTTGAATTTCCTATATTATAACTACTGCTGCTTAAAAGTTTAAAAAGTGTAGAATAGTTGATATTTTAATAATATACCGTACGATCAAAAAAAACAGCGCAAAGTTAGCTTGGAAATGATGATTGATAATATACTGTCATAGGCTACTAGTTAAAATCAAGAAAAATATACGCTTTAAAGCTAAATCTTAAATAACTCAAAAACGATTTATTTTAGGTACAGGAACATGTATAGTCAAAAAGTAACAAATTTTAAAAACGAAAGTAACGAAAGCCTTTTCACGATTGAAATAAAAAAAGTGGATTTCCATTTGAAAAAAAAATGATTTATGATAATTTTTTAATCGCTCAATTCCATGACAGCTGCGGCCATTATTATATGACATTCGGACAATTTAATTTTTGACATAGATAGCCACATGTTTTCTCTTTATAGTAGGTACAGTGGCTGTGACAATCATTAAATTTGACGTTTAGGCTATATACATATTTTTGACAAGCAGTTTTTCTCCTCTAAAAATTATAAATATTTTTTTTTCTCTCAAAAACGGTTAACGTTAGGTATTTGTGTTTAGTATCAAAATTCATAAAATTTTACAGAGAATTTAAGTATGTAATAAAAAATGGGGTCACCCATTTAAAATAAGAAAGTTGCTCTCAACTTCCGGTACTTCCGAAAGTGTCGCCATATTGAAAATATTTTTAATCGATAGATCTCATTGTGAAACAATGATATGCACAAAATCTCGTATCTAGATATTGTAGTTCTCTAGAAACTTCTAACGCAGGCTCAGCCTGGGACACCCTGTATAAATACTTGAATTTTGTCAACCATTATACATACGTCATTCAATTTTTACAAAATGTGCATTAGAAGTATATCATTATCTAAACAGACCGGGGGCCACATTTAGCTTCGCCGCCCCGGGCCCCCGACAAGCTTAGTCCACCACTGCAAAACACTTAAGTTTATATCTTATTACGTCAAACATGTCTTACTATGTTTAGGCATTTAGCTCAAAACTGCCAGTCCAAAAAAAAATACTGGCTGTTTTGGATTTTTTTCGGATTTCTTTAATATTTCTTGCATTTTTTACTTATAAGGTATTTTTATTTCTTCTTTTAATCTTATTTTTTAGTTCCGTAAGTGTGTAGGATAGAGCTTGATCATTGATGAATTGTTTTATAGGTTGTATCATTTACATAAAATAAAGAAAAAAAAGTTTTTCCTGTCAGTTAAGACTGATTTTTTAATCACGTTTTTCAGTTTTTACTAGTGTACACAATAGAAGTTTCACTTGTGATTTTATGCATTATTATAGTACTGTGTTTAGTGAAGAGAAAGTTCACAAAATTTTAATAAAAATTATATATTAAAATAAAAGAACCGTTTTTTCGTCTACACACACTGTTTTACTTGATACTTTTTAACCGAACGAGTAAAACGTTATATGTAGACAAGGTTTTACAGTCAGTCTCAATTTTTTACGTTTACTGTAGATTCAATTATATCTGTTAATTTATATACCGGGTGCGTCTCAAAAGTGGCTCACCCCTATAACTTTTTTATTTTTTCAGATAAAAAATCGAGATTTGGTATGTTTGTACGATGACAGAAATTAGGATGGATTGACGTATTCGTTTGTTTTCTGTCGCTTCCTGTTTCACCGGAAATAACTACAATTTTTGATTTTTAAACGACACCCTCGGTGTTTTGTTGCTATATTCGATAGATAATGACACTCTGAATAGAATGACATATCATATCACATTTTTGAATATGGTTTATTTGAAATTGTAAAACGCGGCTCATAACGACAATTTGACTCGATGTACCAAGTGTGTGGTACCAAATTATTCGTAAAAAAATGCCTTTTCCAAATATGCTAATGAGCCACCCTTGTTCCATTTGAAAAAATTGAGTTATGATTAAAAATACGCTTTGGGCATCTTTTAATCCGCCAGGATAAGGCACGAAAAACTTTAGACGATCAAATCTATTTTCCCAAGGCTCCTTGATTAAAAATTAGTGTTTTTAACACATCCATGGCACTCTAGATTGAAATTTCAAATTCAATTTTGTTTTAAGCAACTATGTCATAAGTTGACATATGATATGTCAAAAACCAAACCAAACCAAACCAAATCAAAAGTTGTAGTCATTTCCGGTGAAACAGGAAGTGACAGAAAAGAATTGAATACGTCCATCAATCCTAAATTATGTCATATACTAACATACCAAATCTCGTTTTTTATATGATAAAATAAAAAAGTTATAGGGGTGAGCCACTTTTGAGACGCACCCGGTATATTTATACAGGGTGGCACCTCTCATACACCGCGGAAGCACCGAGGAGAAAGGTAGTTTATATCGAAATGAAATTTTGGGAGCATGTAATATGAGCATGTAAAATGTTACACATCAAAATTGTGTTTTTTGAAATGGAGCACCCTATATATTAATTGATTTTCGGATTCTAGAAAAAATATTAAGGTAAATTTTATTGATGAAGCATATGCCTAAAATTTAACGATTTTGACATATTTCACATTTTGTGAAAACGAAGAATAAAATTTAAATTTCAATAATAGCTGTATAAATTGTAATTGACCCTGTATAGCCTGATATTTAATTACGATAACCATTGTATGTTAAACCAAATTAAAATTTGACCCGAAAAGTTATACAGGGTAGAGCAAAACTAATATTGAACATTGATCACTTTTAAGAGCAAGTTACACTATTAAATGGAATATCCAGTAAGGTATTGTCAAGGTGTATTACTGGTTGCATAACTGCATACTGCTAAAAATCGCAACGTGCATTGAGGAACCTGGCGCATTCGCCAGAAAGTAAAGAAAATTATAGAATTCTTTAGAAAAATCTAGAAACAACCGCCAGGGGGTATATAAGGCCCGCGCTTTGACAGTTGGACAAGTTTAAGTTTGAAGTTTAAAGTTTGAAGTCTAGTCTGAAGTTTAAAAATACCGCGAAATACCGTTAGAGTAATAGTAGTTGCATAAGTTGTGTTGTAAATAGTATAAGTTGTGTGTACAGAGTGAAACAAATAAATTCGTTAAGTATTTTATCGTGAGCTTAAATAGTGGACCCACGGAATCCGTAACAATTGGTGTCGGAAGTGCGATTCAAGAGGATTTTAAGAAGAAATTAAGTGGATTGGAAGATTTTTAAACCGAATTAGAGAATTTTTATGGTTGGTACAAGGGAGCAAACGAAGAAAATGGAGGAAGTAAGCAAATTATTGGGCGATTTTATGGAGAATATGAGAAAAGAAAAGGAAGAGGAAAAATTACGACGTCAACAAGAACACGACCGGCTTGAGAACATTTTCGAAGATTCGGAAAAACCGCTGACAGTTTGGTGATCAACGGGAAGGTCAATGGTAGAAGAATTCGAATGACTGTGGACACAGGCGCTATGGTATCATTGGTGCGGACTAACTCAGTGCAAGGATTGAAGATGATGCCTCTTAGAAGAAGAGTGTATTTACGTACAGTTACGGGGGAAATGGCCGTTGTACGGGGAGAGGCTTTCATGGAATTGGAGTTAGGGAATTTGAAGTTTCGGCATAGCGTTTTAGTGGCAGACATTGAAGATGATTTTATCATGGGTATGGATGTGATCAGTCAACATGGTTTTTCGTTTGATCACCATAGAAACATCCTGAAAATCGGAAATGAGGAATTTTCTGTATCTAAAGAGAAGAGACCAGGAAATATGGAAGA